AGTGTTCAGACTGCAAAGTTGAGTAGAACTGCAGATGGTTGCACCAGCCCACCAAATCGTGAGGATTTATAGAGCCAAAACCCTGCCTGTGAAGTTCTGGAGTGTCGCGAATCTGAAATAATTTCCATCGATGAGTTTTTCCTTTATAAATAGCAGGAAATGCAAACCTTATTGAAGATCGTTATCATTGTTATGGCCAATTTCACGACTTTGGGCTTGGGAAAATTGGCGCTGGAGAAAAATGACCTGATGATGGCCGATAAGTAGGCGACGACAATGACGGACAAGTCCTCTTTATCAGGGAAACTAAACAGGAAAAATTCAAAATTGAAATTTTCTTGTGAAAAACTGGTTGCTTACTCGATGTTGACCAGATGCAGCTTCGACAAGAACCGCTCAGATATTGCCTGAGTGCCCATCAAAGTCCCAATAATCATCACATTTTGAATGTTGATGAATTCCGTCTTGGCGTTGAAGAATCCGTTGTAGCCTATCAGCTAGTGAACATTTTGCATTGATTTTTCAAGTTTCTTCTCTTGAAATAATTCGTTACTCAAAACGTTCAATTTGCGTACGTAAGTTTACAAGCAAACATAAATTTTACATACTAAATTTGTAGTTGTTAAAGTCTGGTGTAATTTAAAATATTATCTGTTGATCAGGCATAAGATTGTTTTTCAATGACTCGTAATGGTCCGTTACCATGAATTTGAGGCCCATCAACAACTTTGCTCAATAATGGAACCAGTTGCCAGGCAACTTTTCAAAGTTTATTGCCGGCGTTTTTGACGGAAACTTCAAAATTGCTTTTTATGTATTTTTTGAACCTTTCATGAAGCTCATCTCTATTATGGACCTGCTCAAAGTACAGCGTTAAAAACCCGCACATCCCCCTGAATAATGCATTGTAAAATTGTAGATTTTTCGAAGGCAGGAACCAGTCGCCAAGGATTTGCTGGCCAAAAAAACTGAGGTGAGCCAATATCGAGAGGTCGTTCAGGAAAAAGACGTTTTGCTGCGCAACTCCAAAGCCCGCATTCTAGAACTGGAAGAACAAGTTGCCGACCTGGACACAAAGTATCGAAAATTGCAAGAAATCCAGACGTACCCGCAGTGCGAAAAAAAGATCATCGAGCAATACGAGACATTTTACTCGAAGATCATGTGCGAAAGCCAGCAAATCGTCGACCAAAAAAAGAGAGCTGAAGCCAAGCTGGAGGAGATGCAAATTTTTTGCGCAGATCTGTTGGAGAAGTACGAAAAGGCCAAAAGCGTTATCGGGCAGTACGATGAAGGGCACACGACACCAAAAAAACCAGCACAAAAATAATGATAGGACGCCGAACTGACACGTTTATAAATGTTCTATACGCGCCAACACTCTCTATTAAACAGCAATTAGGCCAGCATGAACAGGTATTTCAGTGAAATAAAACAACAGCAATATAAGAATAAATCAACTATATTTTATTGAAATATGTACCTACCATTCGTAAAAGTGTCGAATTCCCAAATGAATATTACCTGTACACATCTTGGACCCTAATGACAACAGTATGGTATGGTTATCAACTACAAAAACATGAAATTACTCCCATTCAGACAAGGTCCTCAACAATTTTCAGTTCATCAAATATGAATGTGAAATCTAAATATCCAGCTAAGTTCTTGGCTGCATAGGAGCGGTTCTTTTTTAAATTTTAGTAGCTTACAAGTGAAGTAACTTTTTAATTTAGCAGATCAGTTTCAATCAAAGGATGTTACTGATCAACCATTACTGCATATTTAATAAGCGACTAGTCTTTTGGGTTATATGATGTGTGCTGAATAGTTTTTTCATAATTATTGCTACATACATAAGAAGGTAGTAGACGGAACGAGACTGTTATTAGAACGGAAGTTTTGAAGGCTTGGTTCTATATGATGGATACCTGACAAGCTTAAACCTTATGAACGTAATAAGCTTTGCAGCTTTTAAAATGAAGCAGAGTAAATATTTATTAGAATATGAGTGTAGTACATTTATAATTGCCAAAGTCTCCTTATTTTTGAAGAGGATGATGCTATGTTGGAATACGTGTGTTCCCAATGGGTGGGGTTCATACAAAATTTAGAGGTTTAAATTTAACGGGGCTCCAAAAAAACGCTAAAAACGTAATTAAGGTTTACTCGTATAATCTCTAGATTATATATTGTTTTCTGCATTCGAGGTCCACCATTATTTAGTATCTCAGAAATAATAACATATAACTGGGTCTTTAAATCAACAAATTTGTAGCAAACAGTGTTAATGAATAGAAACTTCAAAATATTAACTACTAGAAAAATTAAAAAATATCAAAGTTTAAATGACGTAGGTGTCTAGTGTAAAATTAATACTTTTTCGCAAAATCTTAACTTTTATAGCATTTTTCGGCTAGAAGAAAGTTGAATGTTATTTACACTTAACTATTGAGGTTTAGATCACTATGCAATCAATGTCTTTTAACGTACTTAGTAGTATGATTTGATTTTTGAATTGTACAAGAAAATAGGAAAGCTCAAGTTAATTAAGAAATATGCAGAATATAATTGCACATCTTCACTTTGCGACTCATTCGCACCAGGTAGCTTTCAAAGTAAAAACTTGACCGATTTATTAAAAACTTAGAGTGCAGATAACGTGGAGCATTTAAATCACGTTTGGCTATTGGAATAAAATTCAAGTAATTCTTTGGTCTACTAACTGTAGTCCAGAAATTGGTTTAGCTAATAGTCTGGCTGTGCGACAATGCAAAAATTAGCATAAGTATAAATTACACAGATACACGACAAAAAATGTTGCTCACTTGAAATATGGACGGTACATAAATGAAGTACCGCCAAAAGAAATAGTAAGTTACGCAGGATAACGCCCGACTATACATTATAAGTTTTGACAATATTTCTTTTAGTTATAAGCTTCCATCTCATTATTCCAACAGCTCAACAATTATGTATTTGTTCGCCTCTTTGCTAAAAGCTTCGATGATTCGAAGATGTGATTTTAATGTGTTATATAAGTGTATGTACCTATAGTAGGGATCTTACTTTGTTAGTGTTAGATGATGACTCGGAAAATTTACATTTAAGTTTATGACTTTACAATAGTGTCTCATTTTTAAAGTACCTTTTAAACGCAGTGCCTTATAGAGCACAAAGTGCACTTTTACAATGAACTGATTGCAGCAAAACATTGAGCCAAATTAATTAGCAGATTTTTTATTTTCCAATTTTCTATGACAATGATTTTAGCAAGTGTTGCTACATGATAGATAGTACTTCAAAATCGGTAAAGTGCTAACAGTTCTTCTGTTTTTGTCGCTGATTTCTGTGATCAGTTGATTGTCATTTTTCAATAGCCTCACTCCAATCTATTGGTTCTCTCTATATGTAGATTAATTGGCTTCTACGACTTCACGCTTTAATTATTTAGTGATGCTTGTCCACTTTTTGAAATTTGTTATATATATTTCTTGAAAATTCATAGAATAAACAGTTTATTGAATTTTATAACAGGGTTTTTTTGCATTTGCGATATTTTAGAATTAAACCTTTACATTTCGTGGTTGCATGTTTCACGCCATATTTATGGCAGCATGCCACTTCTTGGTAGCACAGAATAGTTTTTAATCTTTATGCTGTGTAAAGGTTTTTTGGTAGTATTTGGAAACGTGTTGAAAATCGCTACCTCTGAAGCAAATAAGCATCTTAAAGTGCTGCTAGACATACATACGTATATATATATACTTTTATTAAGTTAAGTTCAAGTTAATTTCTTTCCTCACAAACCGTTTTGCCGTGTGAAGTACTGTTTCCACTACCCAGTTCTCCTTCTTTGGATTACGGGATTATTTTTTAACTACTACTTTTATATTTTCTGATACGTGAGGTCCTAAATAAATTTATGTTTCGGGGTTGAGCGTAATAGTTTTACCATAAATCGCGAGTCTTCAAACTATTTTATATTCTTGGTATTGCCAACATAATATGGGATTATGTTCCAGTCGTTCTTTTGATTGCACATGTGGGTTTCTACAATAATTGCTGCATTCTTCAGATGTTGAACGATTATAGCGTTTTTCTTCAGCAAAATTCGATGGTTCTTGTACGCACTTAGTTAGTCTTCAGATAATTTACAGGTGATAATTTACTCGCTTCCAACGAGTTTGTTTTCGTATGTGGTTTTCTCGCATTTAAATTGTGGGGTTTTCGACTTCTCTTATTGCTAACTAAGCTTTCATATTTCCAGCTTCCGTACTAATAAAGCGCAAGGTGATGATGTTTGTAAATTACCGTTTTCGCAAATTTCACATTTTCTGTATCTTCTTTAGTAAAACAGATTGTAATCTTCCTGATCTAGGTATTCAAACTTGGATTTGTTCAAGGAATGCCAATGCCATCGATTAAATTATCGGTTATAATTTATACTAATGGCAAATAACTTTTTTTCTAATTATATTGAACTTTATCGTTTCTTGTTAACTGTCTTTATATCAGATTTTTTCTGATTTATTATTTTTACTGGGATTTGCTTCAAGTTTGCTTTTGAAGCATCTTTCGTGATTAACTCTGGGAGCGGTATTAATAACATAGAGTCAAATATTAAATTTCGAACTTCAAATTCACCATATTTTCTGTTGTTTGGGTTTTTAAGTTTTCAGTCTTATTGGTTAGCACTTGTGAACTATTGTGTATCTCTTCTCAATGCTTATTTTGAATACCGAAGCCATTCTTCATGTTGGCTTTATTTACAGCCATATGACTTTTAGGTATGAATTTCTACTTTCCTTCCATGTTTTCCTCTGCGTATTTATATATTGCCACAATTAGCGTCACTTTTCTCGGTTGTTTCACAAAACATTTAAGACATAAAACAAGCTTAAATATGTACAAAACCAATGTAATTCGACGAGCGATTTTAGCTATACTCTTATTCGTCAATGATATCATTCGCCGTATATTTTTGCATAAATATTAATTTAATACATCGCAGATTTATAGCAAAAGTCATTGCTAAAAGCTGTTTTTTTTTTAAATAGTAATTATAGAAGTTGTAACAAGGGCACATAAAAGAGTGTAGTTTAATTTTAAGTGTGCGACTTGATATTTTAAATTGTTCTCATTAGCACATGAATGTTTAAAAATGTTACATGATGTGAATCTTGTATGCCTTTATACTTCAAGATCTTCATAGATGAAATAAAAAAACTGGTAAAGTAAATTACCATGTGTGTCTCCTTATACTTGCTGGTCACGTCAAAAATTGCAGCACAGCAAAACTTTAAGCGTTTGAACTTTTATTAAGAGTCCAAATAAGTCTCAAAATAGTTAATACTCATTTTCCGTATCTAATATCGTTTCTTCTTTAAAATAATCTATAAATTATACACTATTTTCAACTGAAAATCGGAACAGTAAGTTCTTATCTAAGAAATTACGCACTTTATTACACGATTTCTTAATTCATTTTATCCAGTGTAATCACATTTCCTGTGGTTTTTTAACAATCTGTATTTGTTTGTAAATACTGTTGCGGTCTAGCTAATAATAATAAAAATATCGACTAAATCTTATTAGACAGCATTGGCTCTGCACCTGAAAATCCCCATTAAATTGAAAACAATTTTACCGCGATATGCTCGAAAAATATGTCTTTTCTTGTCTTAGCTGAAGCTTCTAACATATTTTTAAATCTGCTTAATATATTTCAGATTTACTCAGAAACAAATTTGCACATTTGATTGAAACTAATCTCCTTAATACCGTCGTCGTCTAAAAATCTATTACTGCCTAAAATTTTTCTTCTATTATCAACATTTCTAAATAATCTCACTATTTGACTACACAGCACTTTCATGGGGCGGTTTGTTCATCACCACTATGTCCGACGGATAAACATACTTTTTCCTCCTCACAAAGCTAGGAGAGGGCGTCCGTTCCCCGACACTGTTATTTAAACCACTTAAAAGAGGCAATGCCTCTGTTCTAGAAAAACACTGAATCTCATCACTGCCCGGCATATCAGCTTCTGTTCGTTTGCCCTTAGAGAGAATTGTTTTGATAGGAACTGCGGAACTGATTGGATTTGAAACCGGAGGTAATTTGGGGGTATCAAACTGCTGTTTCTGTTTTTTGCCCTTAAACAGTCTCCATCTCACCGGCGGGGAGTAATTGGCTTCGCAAATTGTGTCCACTGTGATGACTTGAGGGTTAAAAGTAACGTTCTTGGTAGTGTCGGAAGGAGTCCTGCAAACACTTCCTGAATCGATAGAGGAACTGGCTTTACTTTGGAGGAACTGAATTGATCGGTGCTCCTCATCGGAGGCCAAATCAATAGCGAGGTTTGAGATAATGTCTGGATCCAGTTCTTGTGGTGTTCCGGGAGTTAATACCTGGAAAGTATGATTTTGTTGATCGAGTTGTTTAGAGTTGCATTACTTATTACAGAACGTGGAGTTTCGAAAATGTCAATCCATTAACCGTAGAGTGAGGTGAAAAACTCTTACTGAGAACATAATATCAAAGTTAAAATTCAAAATGTTATATTTAAAAATACATGCAAAATTTAAATGATTTCGAAGTAAACATTTTTGTGATACGAGAATTTTATTTCAAAAACTAAAAAATTCCTAAGCAAATAAAGTTTGAAAGAAGTAAGAAAGCTTCCGCATGTGACTAATAAAATTGCTTTTATTCCTCGACAAAAAAGAATAAACAACTAAATTTCATTTATTATTATATATATTCTATTACTTATTCGATAATAATACAATAGTGAAGTTTCCTGTCTATGTAGGTATACCAAATCAGAACGATTTCCACAATTTGCACACCGTTGAATATAGAGCAGCATGATGAGTCTTTAAATAATTGAAAATCTTCCAATACTGGTCTAAAAAAATGTCGTAAATTGTCTTTATAGCAGATCGGATTTAACTTTGTTAATTACTTTAAAATCAGTGTAAAAACACTAATTTTCCAATCGTTATGAATGAAACATTACTAAATTCGATCTGCCAAAGGCCCAAAATTGAGGCAAAAGACCCAAATAAACTATGTAAAAGCGCTTCTCAGCCATATAGAACTTATGTAAAACTCTAATTATACAGGGTAATTCACAACCTTATGGACACAGAGCAGGGACATGTAGAGGACTTCAAAACAAATCGAATTTCTACTGAAGGTTTTTTTCTCAGGTCCATGGTTAACAAGATACAAGGAGTTAAAGTTTCAAAAAAAAATTGGTATTTTCTCTTTAACTCCTACAGTTTATGAGATATTTTACTCAAATTTCTAACATTAACAGCAACAAGGCGACTTGTGGTGAAAATCTACAGGGTGTACTTTTTTTATAGAGGTATACCCCCTTTTACCCTCCCCCCCCAAACTTTTTTGTGGTGCGCCACTGACGTCGACCGAACACATTTTTGCATTTGTGGTTCAATTCAATCCAATAATTTTCTGATTTTTTGCAGTTTTCATTTTCTGTCTTTGTTTTCGAGTTATTTGCACAAATATAAGTCCATGTGGGACTTTTGGGTGATTTTCTATAATTTTTTTGTGTCTTTCTGTTCACATTTTTCTGTGTTCGGCTGTAAGCTAATCGAAATAAAAATACACAAAAATGTAACGAAAATTTCAATTTATTATGAAATTAGTTTCATTCACAAAAAATGTGAACAAAAGGACGCAAAAAATTATAGGAAAATTCATGGAAAATCACCCAGAAACCTTATATGGACTTATATTTGTGCAAATAACTCGAAAACGAAGACAGATAGAAAAAAAACTCTAAGAGATCAGAAAATTCTTGAATTCAACAGCAAATTCAAAAATGTGTTCGGTCGAAGTCAGTGGCGCACCTCAAAAAAGTTCGGGGGTAAAAGGGGCGTATGCCTCTAGAAAAAAAGAACACCCAGTAAATTTTCACAACCATTCGCCTTACCTACGGATAAAGGGTCTAAAAATTTGACCAAAATATCTCATAAACTGTAGGAGTTAAAAGGAAAATACCAACATTTTTTATTTTTAACATTTTTAACATTTATACCAAACTTTAACACCCTGTATCTCGTTTAACCATGGGCCTGAAAAAAAAAGTTAATTGGAAATTCGACTTGTTTTGAGGTCCTCTACACGCCCCTGCTTTGTGTCCATTATGTAGTGAATCACCCTGTATATTAATCAATATATTTTTGGTGCTTTGAGTCTTTGGTTAGCAGATTGACTTTCTTCGCTGGTGACCGGATGTTTGCAGCAGTAAATTTTAAAACTTGAACAAACCTGCGGATATACTGGAGTCGAAGGCGAACTGATAAAATACACAGGCGGTGGGCTTCCTTCCAATAAAAGCCCGTGGTGCATTTCAAGGATACTAGGATCCGAATTGAAGAACTCTTTGCATCCGGCGCTCGTTAAAACGTTATCCAAAATGTCTTCAGCGGACTGAAAATCGCTTCCACTCGAAGTGCGACCCTCAGCACCACAACTATACACAAAACAATATTTTGTTACGTTCACGCGAATATAATTTAATTGCAATACTCACAGTACACCCAAAGTATCTTTGGAACATCCTCCGGTTTTACTCGACTCTCCACAACATTTGTTGCTCGAAGCTGACTCAAAGCTAACACTACTACTGGATGAACTTTCCGCTCGGTTGTTATTATTGATGAAAAGCATCGGGAATTTTTTGCAATTTTGAAAACTTCTTATGTTGCGAATATCATCCGCACACGTACTGAGGTCGCCAATTATTTTGGGAGTACGTCGCATTATCTGAAGTTTAAAAAATTTATTAATTCTCTACAAGAGGTAAATTACTTTATCATATTGTTTATATTACGCTAAGAAAAAATACTAAATATTGAGAATTCACATAGAACGGCCAAAAATCGAATAACTTATTTTGTATGTTTGTATATACTACTGGATATAGCTATCCTTTAGGAAGGCAAATGCCCCGCATACGGCACTAAAATTGAATGTTTCCTAAATAAAATTGGGTGGCTTTGCAAGCTTTTTGGAATAAAGAAACAAATAGTATTTAAAGACCGCGAGAATACAAGACATGAGTATTTAAAACTGAAACTATTGTGTTGTTCCAATCTTATAAAATATGTTGTGTTCCCAAATATATCTCGCAAAATATTCAACTCCACCAGCAAGAGAGCATTACGTACATATTGAATAAAATATATGAAATAACTGTAAATAACTAATAAAAATATTACATAAATAATATTAATTATCTTGAAATGAACAATTATTTGTCTCTTTTTGTCGAGTTCATTCACAGAGCTTGATCAACTTTATATATATTAGAAAGTATAGGAGCTGGGCCTATTCGAGAAACGATTTTTAAACATCAACTTAAAGCTTAAATTACATATATCTCAATACACCTAAAACCATTCACAGTTTTTGATCAGCTTTCTTTTAGCAACTAGACACGTACAATTTTAACTTACAATTAAATAACACCAAAAAACCAATTGACTGATTTTAGAAGACAAAGCATTGTTGGAAAGAGCTTCTAAAGATTTGTTTTTGGTTTTTAAAATTATTTAATTTAGGAAAATGGGCGTATATTTGCATTAGTAAACATTTCTGACTCATTAAACTTTATTAAGTTGTTATTATATTGTTGAGCGTTATGATACTTTAATATCAGATTTTTTTGTACTTTTTAGGCAACTTTGTCTTTAGAACTTTTAACAGTTTTATCATTTCACAACAAAAATTCYCWCTTGGTCGCAAATTATTTTACAATTTGGGTTTTAATTATTAGGTTTATTTTCTGTGGGTGATGCCCACTACTCCTTTYCTAAAWGTTATTGATAAACACTTTGCAAWTAATTTTTTTGTTGGAATATTTCAAAGTTTATTTGTGATTCATTATTTTTCTTCCAAATTTTCTGTTTCGCTACAAAAGGATTTTGATCAATAAAACATCTCCATAAAAAACTAATTAATTATTTTCTAATTGAAGTTGAGTTTTATCGTAATGTTAAGCGCTTAACGTCGATTAGATTATCGATTACGATAAAGTGGTAGTAAAAGCTCGTTAGTTTTGTTTTTATTGAATAACGAAATGCAATAAAGGTATTGTAATACTATCATATTGCATATCTACTACCCTGATTCTTGATTCTTACTATGTTTTAGAACGATTCTTAATGTTGTTCAGGCTAAAACTTCCAATCTCTGTAAGACAAGTATTTTTTACAATAAAAAGTTAAGCCAAACAACGACACATCTGAACAATATAAACAAAGTAAGGTGTTCTAGAACCTAGAATTTCATTCAGTTTTTCGAAACAGTTAAACGAAATTATCTGTTTTTACTTAGTTTTGGTACAAATACACGCTAGTGTAAAACACTGATAAATAAGTGCTATTGAGAATAAGATGACAAACTGCTATTTCTTGCTTATTATGCAGATTCCTGATGCGAATAATATCTTGTAAAATATGGTAAATTTTTTCCGGTTCGGATTCATATATTGTGTTTTTTAATTAATAATTTACAAAAATCGTGCTTCCTTCGCAAAAAGAACTAAAACGACCGTGAGTGTGCAGTTCAGAACTCATTTCAAATACTACTTCACAGCAAATTGTTCCACCAAAGAGTTTATAATCATGGTAAGTTGTTTATTGCTCTATTTTATAGTTCACTGCTGTCGCTATAATGGCAAGTTTTTATTTGTGCTTCCATCATAAACCGATTTAGATTAATGCGGACTCTTAATCGAATCGAAAATCATCATCATTCATTATTTATTGAATCTCTAAAAAAATATGTTTCTAATTTATGGTCATTTATTAATTTATTCATCTCAATTTATGGTCACCTTTAGTATCGCGGTATTATTACAGAAAGGGTAAAAATTATAGCAAATAAATCGAGATATAATCAAATGAAAATTATTAAAAAATTTAAAGAGTTTACAGTGATAATTTGCATTATTTGAATTGCCAGATGAGAACACATGCTAAACAAATATAATTGTTTAAAAGAACGGAACCATCCTTTGCGTATGTTCTTCTTAAGSTTTATTTTTAATTTATTTGACTCCTTATCATTTGTCTCTTCAAAAATGATATTTCAAATATCTGTATTTTATAATGAGGACTAATCGAAAGATCTAAGTTTTTTGGAAAAATTTATTTTTCCTATTGAAAATAAACTTTTCTGATAAAACTATTTAAAAATATGTTAGTTTATCGATTAGATTTGGTTAATTCTAATAGTAGAACACTTGAGAAAACTCTGTTTCTGCAGTATTTTCTTTGCCATCAAAAATTGTTTCAAGTTTAATTTTCAGTATGCTAAAGGATTGCTAAGTCAAATTTGTAATTATGCTCCAGTGTGAAAAAGCAGATAAATTGCGTTAAGAGACACAAATACTGAAAACTAATCGAAAAAACTTAAATTTTACTATATCTGACATTAAAGAGTTATTATAGAGCGTACAAATGTTCTTTTGTATGTTTTTCTGTGATCAGTTTATGCTGATACCTCTTAAATACATTTAACGCCTATAACTGACAATCATATAAAAATGCATTTTTACTAACTACTTAATACTACTAAATACTCGCAAAGTAATTTGCATGTGTGTTTTCACGCCATATCTCCAGATAACGGGAGGAACACAACTTTTATAAAAATTGAAAGTGATGAGTTTTTCTGGTTATTTATGGTCGTTCTAAATAATTTCTTCTTGACGTCCCGAAAGCAGGACGGCTTCTCTTGSTGGMTTCTTTCTTCAGAGGTGTTTTGCTTGAAACCTTACATTRGGCTGATGTCTTCAGAACGCCTAATTTTTTCGTGATAGAATTTGTTATTGTTTTTTAACAGGTTTTAATAGTACAAATCTCAACTTTACAAGACTTGTCTTYAGAAAAAACTAATTCACATGTTTATGCCGACTTTTACTGGTAGATATTTAGAATACTTACTCTGTACTCTCAGTGGTTATATGGTGCTCCATAAATAAACCGACATAAATTTAGAGATTGTAGGCAGCAACAAAACAAGCATTTTTGTGGTATGAACATTTTCGAAAACGGTTTGAGATCAGACTCTAAATTTGAAATGATTTTTAAAGTGGTTTATAATTAAACTATGGTCATGTAATATTGGTATATTCAAAACTGTTAATGTCAGATTTACCGGCAGTTGTAACTTTGAATCAAAAGTGTATTTAATGTATTGATTTGGAACTTTTTGCATAACCGTACCATTAATGAAATTTGTAATAATGAATCCAATATTCAATCCAATATTCAATTTCAATATTCAATTTTAAAGCAATACAGTATATTCTCGTAGAGATAGTAATTAGCAAAAAAATCGATACAGTTTGCCCATGCCATACTTTGTAATATTCCTAATTGTATTAATATTTCTATTCTTTCTATAATCTTTCTCTATTTATTTTGCTGGCATAGTTAATAGCATTTTATTTGTGTATTGTTTCGGTAAATCGTTTTTTTATGAGCCGGCAGACACATTTGCAAATAGCGTCTGAAGTGCCAATTTTTAGGACAACAATTCGGAAAAGTTTTGTCAAGTTTGGAACATAACGCAGAAGGCGGTAAATTGAGCAATTTGGAACAGACTTATGTATCGTAATACGTCTTGCTCTAAAACTGGAATACACATATAACTTAACTTGAAATGCCTCTAGGACTGCTTGCATTAGAAATGAAATGTTGTCAATAAAAAAACCCAAATTTGATTTGATTTTCAAAGAAAATTCACTTATATCTAACGCGCTGCGAAAGAGGAAATAATTATCGGGGTTCGGCAATAAGTACCAACTAAAGTGGCTTTGGAGTGTTACCTTTGGGGTTCTGCAAATATCTACAATAACATTCGTTGCCACTACACTGGCTCTGGAACTAATACTGGACAATTCTGACATACTTTCCGGGCTAGCAAGAGGTGCTAATCCCAGCCAGTCATCATGGATTAAATCTACTTTGGGAATCAGATTCAGGCTAAGGCTCTTGGTGATTGAAGGCGGTTCTTCATGCTGAAAGTTAAAATTATTTTCTAATGAAATTTATCAATTTGAGTGGCATCGAAAGCAATCGTGAAAGCAGCTAATGCAAGTTATGTATTTAGTTGAATTCTATAAAAATTATCCTGTTTATGAAATAGAGATTTTGGAAATATACAAAAGTGAAAAACTTCATACAGCGTCAACAAGAGCCGCTAATCTGGGAATTAGATAGTAAATCTAATATTTGTTAGTGTGGAACGTTAAAGCTGCATTTCTCTGATTGCGATTCAATAGAGCAATTAACGTGTTTTGTGAAACATTCGCTATAAAATTATCAATACAGGATCTGTTAGACCATTAGCGGTATACAGAGAACTCTGGCAATTGAAATTCCAACATTTTAAAATAGTTTATATTTTCATATCGTCTGCTTTTCCATAAGTTGGAATAAGTGTGAGGTAATGCTCTTAATCAAAAATAATTAACCATTGATTAGGTACCTCTGGATGCTGATAAAGAAGCCTGAACATTTTCAAAACGTTCTTCAATTCATAAAAATTGAGTGCATATATATATATATGAAACAAACAAAAATCTGCGTTTTGAGAAAGTGTTCAAAGCTGGATTGAGTCAAGTAGCAAGTCCCGTGCCATAAAAACATTATTTTTGCGAAGAAATTTGTGACTTTCAATGTAACAACTTAAAATAAGCGCTCAACTGCAGTGTAAAAAAAAATATTTATTATTTTAAGCAGTGAAAATAAACTGCTCAACAAACGAACGTTATTAAGCCAAATTTGCTCTAACTTTGGAACCGGATAAATTCTGATTATCTCTTTTTAACGCATTGGTTTCGGTTTAAAGCATAATCTAGCACCGTTTGTGTTCTGTTAGCCCGTGTTGTGGTAAAAATTAAGCACTTGCACTAAGCACAAATAAAGAAATGAAAATTTCGCATCTCCCAGTTGACGAAAAACAATTTTCTTGGATCTCAACCCCAAAAGTTAACCTAAACCAAATAACTCGAAACAAGTCGCAAGCAATCAACTTTTTGGTCTTGAAGCAATAGCTTTTTTGCTTTTTTCCCGATTTTGATTATCAAAAAATCATGTTCAGGTTAAGATTTCAATATATGCAAATGCATAAAAAATTACTCAAAGCAGAATTCCCCGAAGTCTGTGATTCTAAAAGACTTTCCACTTAATTAAAGTTTACTTTCAAATATTTCGTTCGTTCATGCAACCTGGTAAATTGATTGTTTTTCGAATTCAACTGTGTTGAGTTTTAAGCACACGACACACACAAACAAAAGTTTAAAGAAAAAAACATTTTTACACCACTTTGCAAATAAACAGCACGAGCAACAAAAGTGAAAACTTTTCTCGATATACGAGGTCTATTTTAATGCCTGTCGTGTTGAAACAAAAACAGTTTTTTTTCTTCAACTGAGAGCTTTCATAAAACTTAAAATTTCCTATAGGAACTTTTACCAATTGTGCATTGCTTCATTTTCCACCCTGTAGAAATTTCATCTGAATCACTAATTTTTGGAATACATGCACTAACGGAAAAATAATTGCACTAAATAACGAGTCACATATAAAGCAAATAGCTCTCGGGGATCAGACTTTATCTACTTCCGAAACTAGTCGAAATTTTTCCATGTAACGTCTATTTTTTTACTCGATTTAGTTATTTAAGAGCTTATTTGAGAAATAAAAAAAATGCTTCTAACAGCAAATGTATATCTATCTATTTTATTAACGATTTTCTGGAAAAATTCTAAAACAGGAAACATACTTCGAAAATTTTATTTCAACTTTTGGTCAGGACATTATTTTCTTAGTTTATGCAAAAAAATAAATTTTATACTGATATTTGAATAACCTTGCATATTGATATGATTTAAAGCAGTTCTCTAACATGATTTTTCGTATTCCCTCTGGTTGTTTTGGCCTAAATGTATTTTCTATGCAGAAGTTCTATGCAGAGGCTGATAAATAAAGCGATCAAGGATTGCATCTCAAACGTAACAATCAACAAATCTCCTACAGCTTTCAAATGTTGAAGTAAATTAGGAGACAATTCTTACTAAAAGCATGTTTCTCTATGACATGTTTGTTTTGATTACAAAAAATTGTATATTTTTGTGATATGTTTAATTGGAAACTTAACTTAAAAAATGTTTAGTCTAAAAAGTCATGATTCGACTAATGTCCAAAATTTTTTGTGTTTTCAATACATTCTGAACAAAGATTTTCCAGTTGAATTTCCTTAATATTCAGAGCAAGTTCTCTTGAGAAATGTTCAGATGAACTTCCGCTTTTTGTAAAGCTGTGTCATGTGATAATATGTGAACATCTTTAAAACTGAATTTTCTTCGTAAATAAATTTTGTTTTGTTTTTGAAATGTTATTTAAAATAATCCAGCAACTGCATGGTCTCTGACGGCTTTAGATCAAGATTTGTCTTATCTACTTTTTATTTACCGTTAGCTCAATTTTACTTGAAAAATATAATTAAAAAACCCTTAACATTTCAACATGAAATTTATTTGACGTTTGATTTCTAGTAAAACGATAAACAACACAGGAAAAATGAGGGTTCACAAAATAGAGCTTAAATTTAATATGAAAATTACTAGAAAATAAATGAAAAGTTTACTAATAGCAGAAAAATGCGATTATTCTCCAAAAAAAAATTGAAAGTTTTGGCATGCAAATGCAAATGACTGACTGCAAGACGATATGAAAAGAAACGCGAGCTTCCAAAAAGAAGAAAATAATAATTTGAAAGCTCTGAGATTTTTGTTGTTTGTAGAAGCCGTTTCGTCGGTTCTTGATAGTGCGGATTTAACTGGAATAAATTTGTTTGTTACTCTATGGTTAAATTCAAGATTATTCATATGCTATCCAAAATAAAGTTTAAATCACAAAAAAATGTCCAAAGGGCAATAAGAAAAGATTCACTTATTATCATTACAGTAATATTAAAAAATACTTTTCATATATTAACGGCATTCATTATACACACGGCTCTTTGTGAAAACAAATCGAAAATTAACATATAATTAATTATTAATGTACATAAAAATATGTATAAAAATGTAAAAAAATATACAGATGTTGGCGGTTCTCTTAAAAAAATGTTTGCAACTTTAAATATTTTAGCTATTAAACGGAGTTTAATAGTTAAGTTTAAGTTTTAACCGGCAGGAACTTGTAACTGGAAGATAAAAAAATACCTATACAAATATAGCTACTGTACGTATTTTAGTTTACATGTGCAGGAATTTCATGTTTCTTCAGGTGTTTCTGTTTTTATTACTAGCATATTTCTTATTTTCCTGTCTGCTTTATCAGTCTGTAGGGCTATTTTCTTTGGAGCATTAAGATATAAAGTGACCGCACCCAAAATAAGAAAAGGGAAAATATCCAGAGTAATCGGACTGATCTTTCGGGCGAAAGAGAACGTATCGGAGAACTTCTACTTCCAATTACTTACAGTTTAGTTACGACTAATCCTCTGTATACGCTAACGACTCATAATTGTGACACATCCTGCATAGATATTGTTTGATATACCAACCTTCGTTAGAGGCAATTGTTGACTCTTAAAAGACATATCGGAGCGATTACTTCGAATGGACAAGTTAAAACTGGACATTGGTTGATGCACGGAAATCGGAGATGGTTGACTTTTCGTAGAAAAGTATCCATTCGTAATCGATGAATTACTAGACGGACTCTGTAGCGATGTGAAACTGGTTTCCAGGAACATATTTGGATTTGAAGCAGCCGAATAATAGTTTGCTGCTGATTCGCTCGTTGACGATGATCGATGTGGCTTTTTCGGACCCATTGTCGTTACAACCTGTAATAAATTGTTGTTAGAAAGTTATAAATGCCAGCAAAGCGGGCCTTTTTCAAATTTTAAATGTTTTTTTTTCGCATATAACTGTTCTAAAATGAAATATTTTTCGAAATTTACAATACCCGCAAACTGATTACTGTATTGTGGTTTTATTAAAATTACATAGTTTAATACGCAAACTGCAATAATCTCAACACACTCTCTAGAGAGTAAAATAAAGTTATATGGCTACAAATTAAACAAGATCGCAAAAAAGCCTTCAAAGTGTCAGAAAGTATAAATTCTAGTTGCCAGAAAACGGYTTCGATATTAAGACAATGTATACATATACAGGGTGTCGCRATAAGGATGGTAAGCGGCTGTRTMTTGGAAAGTATGTGTTGTAGAGTGATCGAAAAAAAAAATAGATAATGTACTTTAAGAAAAGAATTTGCTRGAAATTATTGTGAAATTTCTCAGATGWCCACGAGATGGCGTAATTGCAAACGATATTTTAAAMAGTCGATTTTATACAGAAATCGTYCCTATRAGTGAAACATCTAGTAAGTGTAGTCAAAAGATCATAAAAAACCGTACTAMTTTYCTTATGAACGTTTTTTMTAACTTGTCAAATAAAGCGTGGKGGGAGAGTCAAACCGCTTAATTSAAAGAAACCTGTAACTCCGAAGCGGCTTGACCGATTTCAAAGTTTTTACTATCAATTTAAAGACCAATRAAAACGCTACAATATGTGATATAAAAGCAATCTTAATMATTTTCGAAAAATCCGCTGTTCGAAAAAATKTCTTTGYTTTGATTTTKMACAAAAATTTCAAATACTTCCATCAAGTTATTTTACACTCATTCGAAAGCGCAGAAAAAAATGAACTAAACCGCAAAAATCKCATCTGMAAATAATTTCTGGAATAGATGTAATACTTGAAAATAATAAAAGTTGCCCAATTCAATTAATTAAAGTAGGCTTTGGAAGAAAAAATGCTGTTTCATTTTGCCCACTATTTTCAAACTTACTAGATGTTTTACTTATAGGGACAATTCCTACTTGAATTATTTGAATTAGGCAACTCTTTTTATTTTCAAGTATTAAACCGGTTCCAGAAATTATTTTGAGATGCGGTTTTTGCGGCTTGGTTCATTTTTTCCTTTGCTTTTGAATGGGTGCAAAATAATTTGATGGCAACCTTTGAATTTGTTGTGGCAAAGTAAAACAAAGACATTTTTTCGAACAGCGGATTTTTCGAAAATGGGTAAGATTGTTGTTATATCACATATTGTAGAGTTTTTATTGCTCTTTCAATGGATAGTAAAAACTTTGAAATTGGTCAAGCCGTTTTGGAGTTACAGGTTTCTTTGAATTAAGCGTGTTCCGTTTGAACGATTGAACCACGGTGACCGACCCCCTAGTGTGCACTACAGGCACTAGCGAAGTGTGCTTGAGCGATAAATTAAAAAGAACCAAAAAGAGTCGAAAGCTGGAGTCAAAGCAAAGAAGTCGAACATTAGATATAGTCGAACACATGTCGCCGTGCCGACAACCGACCACCATTCAAAATACGTGTTAAATCTTAGTTTGAGTCATTAAATATATCGATTTAAATTAAAAAGTGTTTACAGTCCACTAACCGAAAAGTCGGTTATTCAAACCGGTTATCAAACATTTTGATATTTCGAGGATATTAAAATGTTTGATAACCGGTTTGAAAGACCGAAATGTTTGATATCCGCCTCGAATGACCGAAATGTTTGATATCCGGTTCGAAGGACCAAAATGTTTGTATCCGGCTTGATGGTCCAAAATGTTGGTGCGACTGTTTGCTTTTCGTTTAGTGGACTGTAAACACTTTTTAATTTAAATCGATATATTTAATGACTCAAACTAAGATTTAAATATATCGATTTAAATTGAAAAGTGTTTACAGTCCACTAACCGAAAAGCAAACAGTCGCACCAACATTTTAGACCATCAAGCCGGATATAAGTTCATAAGGAAAGTAGTACTGTTTTTTATGATCTTTTGATTAAACTTACTAGATGTTTCACTTTTAGGGACAATTTATGTATAAAATCGACTTTTTAAAATACCGTTTGCAATTACTCCATCTAGTGGTCATCTGAGAAATTTTAAAATTATATTCGTCAAGTTGGTTATCAATTTTTTTTCCGATCACTCTACAACACATACTTTCCAAGATACAGCCACTTACCATCCTTATTGGGACACCCTGTATTGGGCAAAAGAGATCGAACTTTGCTTTGCTTTGCTTTGTTCACACCCCAGATGAAGCACTCAGTAGATCTGAACATAAAATGTAAGGTCTTGAATCGAAAACGGAGTCGCAGTTAATTGGAAGCTATTTCAATGTTATTTACAGTAGTAACACATCTTAAATTCAATGCAATAAATTAGAAAAAAAGTTTTAACGTGAAGAACTTACAATACGATCACCTAAAAATTGAGCCGTTATAAATATTTTCCCAAAATATTTTTGAAAATCTTATTCGCATTAAATTTGCAGCGTTCGTCTACTGTTCGATATAGCAGAACTTTTAGATTTACTAGCTGATTTGAGGAAAATTCTTTATATGCTATTGATACAGCTTTCACTAAGATCAGTGAAACTCATTTCATATTTTAGGAATATGTATATCAAATCATTTATTATTAGATGTTAACACATAAACTCTTTCTCCATTTTCAGAACCTTCGCGGTTAGATTTATTACGGAATAATTTAAAAAACATTTATAAACCCAGATAGGCTTTTTAAAATACTTTTAATATCAGATTAGTCAAGGTATTTTTTACAATTGTTTGTGCGAAGAGACGACTATTAAATATATACAGGGTTATAGATTGAACTTTGGCCACCCCGTTTTTGCTTCTAATTTGAAATTTAGAGAAAAATGTTAACTACAAAAGTTATAGATATTAACTTCTAGTTTATTTTAAGGTAATACCAATTGATACAAAGTGTCTCAAATTCAAGTGGCAGGCCAAACTTACCTTTTCTTAAATGGAATGCCGTATTTTTTATTGTATATTAGAACTATTCGCACAAATCTAGGCCTATTGGATATAAATGTTCTATAATAATTTTCAACTGTATTTGAGTTAATAGCCAATATTGATTGAACTTTGGTCACCCCGTTTTTGCATCTGTAATTATTATGTAGATTGAGCAGAGTTTTCTGATACGCCCAAAATCAACTTTTCCAGAATTTTTCATAAGAAGGTTGAAAATTGAAAAAAGAACATTGAGTAGCGAGGATGATTGTTACCAAAAGTTGGTCATATGTTTAGATTCTCAGAGTTTTTAGAAAACATCGTTTATAAGAAGCATATTAATTTCATGTGGGGCATACATTACAATATTTTGTAGCGCACTTTTAAACAGCAATTTAGACTTTCTTGAAGTTGCTTGTAACGATCTTGTCGTATATTTGTAAAAATTTAAATTAAATTTTCATGACAAGCTTATATGAATAAGACAAGTTTCAAGTTTTATTAAATATATTCCAGCAGCTTTTAACTTGCATGGAAAGTTTTCAAACTACCCAAATATTGACATCTGTAACGTTGTGAACTACTGAAATCCAAAGCTTCTCACTATTCAAATATTACTGTCAGTTTCAAAATCTAATGCAACATTCGAACATGCATAAAATAATCAAACATTACTTACAGGCTATCTAGGATCATGATCACCTTACATACAATGGAAAACATTAACAGTTCTCGGGGAGATTCAAAAGTATTTTAAATAGCGTTAGCTTAATTAGTCTAAAAGTGCAGTTAATTGAGCAAGTAAAAGTGAAGAAAAAAACTAAACTAAGTTTAAAAAATATACATAGATGTGTTTAGTTTCAAATATTTTTCTTATACTCAATAGTATTATGAGGGAAATAATAATTAAGAAACGAATGGTTCATTTCTAATACACTGATTGGCAAAATTAGCGCACCACCTATATATTTTCGCATATATCATTTTTTCTCCAAGTAGGCTGGTAAATAACGTAACCATAGTAACATTGTACAGTACCAATTGTTTTTGGTCCCTTTCTATTAAGTCCAATGCAAGTTTCTACTTGTTTTCTGTAATTTCCAACATCTCATCATTGTTTTCAGCAAGTGTGGTACTGTTTTCTATTCAATTTTCTTGCGTTTTTCCTAACTTATGTGTGTAACTAAAGTGTATTCGCATTGAAATGTCCCCAGGAAGAAATTTAGTGAGTTTGATGCTGTCAAAATTGTACACCTTGTTGGAAGAAGAAGAATTCCCAACGTGAGGTCGGCCCAAGGTTGGGTGTTTATCCCACCACCATTCGTCGATGTCTCAGCGTTTTAGGGAAACAGGTTGCCATGCTAGACGATCAGGGCAAGGTCGACCAAGATGCACAAACCAAGGGGATGATCGTTTTAAACGACTTCAAGCTTTAAGAAATCGCTATTTTGCCGGAAATGAGATGAAAAATAGAATTCAAAATGCCCGAAATGTTACAATTTCTTCCAACACGGTAAGAAGAAAGATCAATGAATCTGGATTGAGTGCAAAACATCCCGCAATAGGTTCTTTGTTGACCATAGCCCACAAGCAAGCTGGGCTTGAGTTTGATCGAGAACGCGTGGATTGGGATTTGGATGACTAGAAGAAAGTCTTGTTTACTGATGAAGTTAGAGTGGGCTTAAAATCGTCGGATGAGCGAGTTTTGATTTGGAAAAGACCATGGGAAAGACACAGCCAAACATGTATGGTTTTCCAACTGGCTTTCCGTGGTGGCTCAATAAGCTGAATAATGTTTTGAGGTGGCAATTCTTTGAAGGCCCGTACGGACCTTGTGGTGATCCCCGAGGGAGATCATTAGTACATTCAAGAGATTTTAAAAAACTTTGTGGTACCTTTTGCACCTCACACAGGGGAGAATTTCTTGTTTATGGATGATAATGCCAGACCGCACCGAGCTCTGATCGTGCGCGAATATCTTAATGAAGTTGGCATTCATCGTTTAGTGTGGCCAGCGCGTAGCCCTGACTTTAACGGGTTGAACATCTTTGGGATCAGCTCAAACGACGTATTCAACGACGAGATCCTACTCCTGAGAACCTGGCTGAACCGGAAAACGCGGTTCTTCAAGAATGGCACAGCATACCCCAATAATTCATTACAGACATTTTTTCTAGCATTCCAAGACGTTTGAGGGACGTTACGGCAATACACGCTATTAAATCGGTTAAAGACGGAAACATTACCTGAATTTAAAAATTTATTTTTCCTAAAATTTTACCAAAAATCTGATAAACTTGATTCATGTTTTGTTTCAATTTTTCTTTCGAAAACATTCGCATAGCTTAAAAAACAATAATTTGAATTTCGATAAAAGTATGAAGGATTTATAATACTTTTTCTTTGAAATATATAGATGATGCGCTAATTTTGTCCATCAGCGTATATTAATACTAAATTTTCTTGGCGCGTTGCATCACAGGAAACAATGAATTTGAAACAAAATATTACAATGTTATGAAAAACAGGAGATATATATAGAAGTTTACTCTGTTGAGATATCTAGATCTAGATCTAGGTCATCCTAACAGAACAAAAAACAATCAACTAAACGAATAACTCAAATCAGTGAATTGGTAAGCATAGGAGGTGCCTCGCGCTTCCTAAGGGAACGAAAATTCAAAAATTAAATAAAACAGGCCAAAATTTGCCTAGAATGATAAAAAAAGCTAGAGAAAAAATGGTAAAAAAACATAAGTGTAGAATTTTACCTGATGTCTGGTGGTGCGGGTCTGAGTTCGTAGGCCGACATTTCGGTCCTTCGAAAACCCTGAGGATGGTGATATGGCTTCTTGTCCACCTGTCACACACTGCCGATCAGACACCCTTCGTCAAACACGACATGCTGGTGCAAAATGGATAAAAACGTCCAAAAAAAAAACGAAACGAAACAGAAACAACATTAGTTAAAAGCTTGATTAATAATTGTTCTAAGAATTTTTTTCCAGATTGAATTTTGTAGTGAGACGTATAGGAAAAATATTCCATATAACCGGAAGCTGTTTGTTAAATAAGAATATCACCCAAATACTAAATGTGCCCCATTTTATTACTTTTGATATACACAATGAACTGTAAGTAGTTATTCTACAGTGGAAGATGATAAAAAGCAGTTTCGCTTACTGCCTATTTTCAGATTTCATAAAAAAAGGAAACAAAGCAAATTTAAGTTTGTCCTAAGTTTTCTGAAAATTTATTGGAAATTAGTTGTGAGAAATGAGAAAATACTGGAAATCGGTATGTGGTGGTCGCTTAAAAAAACTTGCAAGTTAGAAATTACCTACCAAACTTTGGGAAATTTGATTTTCATCTTCAGAGCTAAAATGTGGGATACATAACCGTCAAAATAAGTCAAATAAGAATAAATAAATACACAAATATATTTTTCTTTGTTTATTTTTAATTGACTTCCCTGACCCTAACTGTCATTTATACTATATTTTAGCCCCAAAGAGGGAAATACGTTCAAATAAAATTACTCAGTTGTACAACTTTGTCAAAACTTGATTTTAAAATTTTTGTGTTTTGTCGAAAGTTCCAACCTAAATAATAAGGAACTACGTTTTCCGAAAGCTCTGTAATTCACTTGTAACAGTGGTTTTTTCTGAAGACCGCAACTGACCGACTTTCAATATTTTTCCCTACTCAGTTTCACAATATTTCAGTCAAGACCTCCGTTAAAATTTTTCTTGGAAATAAAATGAAGTTTAAAAATTTATTAAATAATTAAAACCTTTTCAGCATAGTGTTTTTGGTGGATATCAACCGAATGCTCTTGATCATTTTTTCTACACAATTTTGAGAGAAATTTTTTTTAATATCTTAGATTGAGATAGAAAAGATTGAAATAAGGCGACAAGATCCAGTGAATTTTAGTCGTAACTACTCCCCATGTCGAGATATAGACCCTTACAAGCGCCACTAGAAACTTATTATTCTTAATAATTTATTCTGTAACTCAGACGTTTTTTTAACGTAGGTACAGGGTAGCCTAAAGATACTTGGCATACGCATGGCATGGCACCACTGTCATACGTTAAAAAGTAGAATAAATCGTTGGAACATGATCCTTGCTCATTACTTTTTAGTTCCTTTTCAGAAAGTATTTGGAATAGATAGTTGGGGTTTAATACCAATTTTTCTATTGCTTATAGCAACTTCATGAGCGTTACGTCACATTTAGGACGTGAGTGTGATTAATTTGCCATTAACTTCCACAACACTGGGAAATAATTTAAAGGATAATTTATTAATTTTTTTTAATGCAGTTGAGAATGTTCTGCAAAAAAACGGTACTTTAGGAAGAAAATTTTCAGTGGTTTGAGAGTTGTGAGTCTATAATAATAGTGTTACGCTTTTGGTGTTCGGAAGATTGCAGAAACACGCTCTGTTTGTAGACATAGTTTAATAAATACATCCCGAATTATCACCAACAATTTTCGTACTTCCATTTAATATAATTCGTTCACTAACTAACTCGGGTGCATCCGCGCTGCTTTGTATAGTCGTTTGGAAACACTCGAATATTCTGCTTCAATTATGGAACGTTCCCTATTCTAAAGAAGGCGAGCTGTTTCAAACGTCAAACGTTTTTCAACGTTTCAAAGTCGAGAAAAAAGCTATTTTTATTATCATATCCAACAAACGTCGCAGAAAGGCAAAAAATTAGTCAAATAGTGACAGCAATTTAGAGGTGGAAATGGACGAAACCCCATCCGAAACTAGAGAGATAGGAAAAATAAAAATAATACCAAACTTTAAAAAATTTCATTATTTACCTAGCTATTTATTATTAATATTATTTACCTAGGGAGGGAAATATGAGTTTTTAGATTCAGACTTCAAATCATAAAACCTCTGAAGCAAAACTCGACTGAACAACTATTCCATCCCTGTTAGATCCCGACCAAGGGATGGCAGGTAGGAGACGCATAATAATATAAAAGCCTTTCGTCCTGCAAATGATAGGCTACCGTTTTTGAAATTTTAAAGGCCTGAAATAGCTACTGTTTCATTTTAGTTTTGCCACCCTGCATAGTGTATATGTATAGTGTATAATTTGAAACAAGTGACAAAGACTGTTCGAGGATTCGTGTCTATGGCGGAGTCAAAAATAATATTTTTTCGTAAAAAAGTAACTTTGCGTAGAATGTCGTTTAACCTTCTGTAACTGAAGGAGTGTCAGTCTACAGTTCTACACAAATATTGTGAAAACTGTTAAATGAAAATTAATTGATACAGATACTGATTTCCCTTAAAATAGAACCTGTATGTTTGGCCATTTCCGCATTTCAGATTTAATTCTAAAAAATCTCATATACTTCAAACGATATTTATAAACACGATCCTTGCATATATGCATATCTAGGAAAAAACCTGTGATTTAATAAATCATAAAAAACAAATAAATTACTGTAAACATTTTATTTAAAAAAGTTAAAAATAAAACTAGCTTATAAGTTAATTTAGATAAATGAGATTATCAATACACGGCAAAATCATAAACAAATACTGTTTGACACAACTAGGAACTAAAATAAATACAATAAAAAACAATAAGTAGGTAATGAATTGAGCATACAAACTATCAAATAAACATGAATGTTATGGCATGGCAAAGCTGGAAACTTAAAATTAATTTCAAAACAGACATAGTAGGTACGTAAGTAAGAGGTGTCAACTAATACAAAATTAAATATAAATCACGAAAGTAGGTCTAAGCTACTGATGATTTGACCATGCATTACTAAAGGCCAAGAAAAAGATAAACACGTATTCTAGAATTTTTAATGCTAGTTGTAGAGTATAAAATTAAAATTACAAAAATTTATAATTTTTGTATTTCTCAAAGTGTATTATAAAGAAAGCACATCGTAAATAGCTTGTTTATAACTAGTATTAAAAAATCTTGGGAATAGTAGGCAGCACTAGACATAAAGCAATGGTTCAGTCGTAATTTAAGTCAGCTTCAACGCACTCAATAGGGAGCGGATTAGCGTGCGCCAGGTGAGAACGTACCTTGTTGAGTGCTTCCAGAACTGTGTCTGGCATGTGATCCTGGATCATTACGGGAGAGATCAGCACTTCATCGAAATCCGTATTGGCCGCCCATAGCGCTTGGTAAACTGGCTCTTTCTTGGACAGCGCTTGCCTATAAAGTTAAAGATAATAAGATTTTACATAGACTGGGTGTTCCACAACTAAGAAGGAATTAAACTCCTAAAGAGTGTTCACGGCATCAATAGAAAATATTTGTGTAGAAGAACCCATGTGCGAAAGTTCTTCCTTAACGCGCTACGATCTTAAGACCGTTTTGTACAAAGTCATGTGTTAGTTAATTTTATTTAAAACTGTTTGTACACAATACCTGAAAATTACTCAAATAAACATAAACTACTAAGAATTTTTGGTACAACTATTTTAAATTTATATTTTTAATTAATTGGATGGTGTGTATAGGCAAAAGGATGCTGAGTTTTCACGTTCAGACATTGATGAGGTGCAACAAATTTTACGCGACTTGAACAGCAAAACGTCTGCCATAAACTGGTCGATAATAGAAGTTTGTCGACTTGCAACATTTAGCCAGTTTCCAAGTTTGGAATTTTTACTACTACACTCCCATGGTATTTACACTTACCACTCTGGTAAGTGTAAATACTTACATTTTTTTGAAAGCGGCCCAGCTTGAAAGTTTTCGTCAGGCTCAACTGAAACTTTGTCCTTTCCTGGAAAATCACTCTACAATCTAAGTACTTAGATTGAAAATTTCCCCATTTCTATCCACTAATTTTAGTTAGAGCTGGTCAAAATTTCAGGTGTTTAGTCGTTCCAGTTCGGACGTGACAAATTTTTTAAAAGGGCTCAATCTGAACTTTCTGGTCAGCGTTAACTGTAAGTTTGTTACTTACTATACAATGAGCATGCAGTCCGTTTTTTTATAATTTAAAACTCAATAAAACACAATTTTGTTCAAAACGGTCTTACAGCTAGTCCCCATACGACCGTAGCGCCTTAGGGAGACATTTCCGGACATGGTTGACCTATGGATCCTTCTACCTAAGTATTGATGCCCTAAACATTCCCTAGGAGTTTGAATCCAAAGCTATGAAACGCCATGTACATAAATCTAGATTACACAGATAAACCAAAACAACATCGAATTACATAGCGATTTAAATACGTATAGTTTTACGGAAAACTAAGATACACATTTTTTATTCCACGTTGGCTATAATGTAAATGTTCGTCTGCATTTGTCTTTTGTTTGCTTATGTTATTTCTTAATTGATATACATAATTGCTTTTGCTTTTAGAAACGAAATTTTAGGATTTCATTTTTTCTGGGGTAGAAATAGCGATTTGGCCGATAGCATTTTTCGAAATAAATAAATATAATTTTTCGCCCGCTTCTAATTTATACACGATTGATCATTTTCCCGTTTTAAAGAAGTTTTTCCGCTAAACAATAAATTTGGACTCAATGAGAGTTTTAAGTAACTTCTGTATTAAAAGATGGAAAAAAAATGAAGGAGGGTTGTGTTTAAATAATGTATATTAAGTACAAAGATGGTGATACATGTTGTGTGAAGGTATGCTGCTGATGCTGAGCTTATTAATATATTTTCTCCCTGACTCAAAAATTTATTTTTCACTTAGATTATATCAAATAAAAGTAACCAAAACCGTTAAGTGAGCTTTGAAGATAATATGGAGTTTTTAGGCCCCTTAATTGCAGCACGTGTTACGTTATTCGTTATTCTGAGCATACGCAAAGAAATAACCGTTTACATTTTTAGAGGATAACGTGTTCCTTTATTTACGGACGAGTAGCAGTAAAGTTAATAAGCATCACTTTAAAAAGCAGAACGACGGTGTTGACATATTTGACTTATTTCTAATAATATTGATAAAATAAGCGGCTATAGTAAAATAAGAAATGTATTATAAATCTAAATAAGACTTTTTCAATGATTAATTTACGCGATTATAGCGTAATTACGGATTTTGTTTGAAAATTGTTTGGGCAAATTTGAACTTTGGCAACACTACTAACTGCGCACGGACAGGTTCTAGCTTCTAACCCATAACCTAACTATTCGATTTTCAATTTTTGTTTTCCGTTTTCCGTTCCGTTAACCAATAGTGAAATGGACGTGGAAGAAAAAGAAAGCGTTTTGGCGATCATGATGATCTAACGCTTTCAAGAGAAGATTGGGGCATAACCCATATCAACACTCAGAATCATGGTCAACTATTCAAGAAAACATGTTAAGCCTTTTTCCATACCATTTATGGTATTCGAAGACATTAAACCAGTCGCGGAATATGTTCCTTCTGAAACCTAAAATTGATAAGGCAATCTCTGGGCTCAATATTTTCTTAATTAAAAATAGCTCTTCGGTTTGCCACAACAGGTGGGTCCAAGATGTCGTTTAAAATTAAGCCTCTTATTAAATCGTGATCTACATCTCCCTAGTCGTTCCGGCGCAGAAAGGCAGCTGCAATGTTTCCTTCCATCTTAGCCACTTTTTGTTTAATAACAATACAAACTTAAACTAGCTTTGAAACTTTTCCAAACAAAACGGGATAAGAAAACAATAAAGTTAGGTTTATTTCATTAAGAGTGCGACAAACGCGGTATCAAAAACTTAAAAACGCACTTGAGGTTATTGGCCTGAACACCTTATTTTTTCAACACTGCGCATGATCAGAATAAGGCTTAGTGTTTAAGGCCACGTAATTTTAAGGGGCCTAAAAACTCTATTATTGATTTACCTCGTGCCTATTTAAGATAAATTTAACTTTTATTCATATCGTCAAATTCTGTCTAACAAAGTGCATTTGAATGATTTTTGATCTGTAAAAAGATACCTATAGCTAACAATATAAGAATTCAGATTTATATAGTTGCCCCTCTACAATTTGCTCAATGAGTAGAATACGCAAGGGCGGATCCAGCTTTCAAGTCAGGGGGCTCATCAAGTCAGGCTTGCCAGGTTTATCGTTTTAACAGTAGATCTACCATTTTCGGGGTAGGTGTAAGCCTTGTTCTATGGTGCTACCAGAGATTAGTAGACTACTAATATCTGGTGCTACCGCCTTACCGTTAAGCCATAAGAATCTACCGTTAAATGTTACCTTAAATACTTTCAGAAAATGAATGTCTTTATTATATTAATATATCTAAATTATATAATTTGAGTTTTTTTTTTAGGAATTTCTGTAAGACGTAAGTAAATAGTGGCTCCAATAAATTCTAAAAAGCCACTCAACAGGCAAATTCACATTTCGATAGTTTCTGTGTCTATTTGAAATCCTTACAATGGATTTCATCATTTCATGCTGATGAGATTTACTCATAGTAGTGCCATTAATAATGCATTGTTCAAATTTAGTTGCAGAGGGATTTTCAAAAACTTGATAACGAATGGAGAATCCTTAGAAACTCTGATTTTCGAAAAAATTATAAAGACGACATCTCAATAACATTATTTTGGCTAAATGTACAAGCTGAGCAATATCCAGATGGCACTATGGTGTATCCTCTGCTTGCCCAGTTTGCATTCCATATGCTGAGTTTGTCTCATTCTTCTGCAGGTGCAGAAAGGAAGTTTTAGCAAATTAATTTGTTGAAAACGAAGCAGATAAATCTATTATCCACCAATTTTATGGTTGGTCTTATGCATTCGCAAGAATACATAGGTTGCAGAGAATGCTTCAATTTAAACATAAAAAGCTCTTCGAATATCGTAATAGTAACAAGTACAAAAGGTCTGCTAGCTTTTCTGACTCAGAATAAGTTATTTGAATCAATTGAAAAAATAAAACATGTTTTTCATCAAGTTATGATATATTTTTAACAATATTTTAGTCATAATTTAGGTAGTTACGTAAAACTTATGTACAAAGGAATGATTATTTTTCATTGCTCGTTTTGGCAGCTGTGCTGCCATCTATCTTCTCATGTGACAACTTTCCAAAGAGTAGTACAACTCGGTTATTTTATTTCAATTTTATGTAAATTGAGTTATTAATAAAATATTTTGTTCAATAGGCGATTTTTTTTATCAAAAGTACCTTCAAAAACCACTTTAAAAAAATCGAAAAACAGAAATTTAGGGGAAATAAATTATCTACCGTTTTATTTTTAAATCTACCGTTTTTTCCTATCCATTATACCGCTTTCGAAGTTCTTCGTCTGGCAGTGTTGCATGTAGTAGAGATTCAATGAGGATATGCTTCAATTCAATTAGAATTAGAATTGTATTATCACAAAACGAGTTATGCCTTCCTTCTCTTCAATTGGCATTTGTTTGTGAACGTAAAGAAGTGTCCGTCCAGTTAAGCACTTTGCCATTGAAGCTCTAAAAAAATCGGCAACAAGCTGGTCCGAGAACTGGTGCAAAAAGACAGCAACGGATTCCACCGCTCTCAATGGAGCGCGCAGATTGAATGTGGATCTTCTCTTTAGATCACTTTTGCACTACACACCCAGCTGTTTCATGGAAATTTACTTTATAACTCAGTTTCATAATAAAAAGCAAGTTTCGTATTCCGTTGGAGCATTGAATGTGGAACGACGGCTCTACACATTATATCCAGTTTTAAAGACTCAAAGTTTCATAAAAATCGACGAAAGTCCGAGACCATTTCATTTAGCATGAAAAAATCTATTCTGCTCGTTGATTGGAGTTGTTTATATTTGACTGTAAAACCTGTTTTGTTCACGGCGGCCATCCAAACTAGTTTAAGCTAGAAACTTGCGTTTGGAAATATTTGCGTGCGAACAACAGTCAACAATAAAAAACCGGAAATCGAACTGTAAATGACTCATCCAAAGGGACGATCAAATAAACAACTATATTATCACGTTAATTCGGTAGTTCGCTGCCTTCGGAAAGTGGTAAAATCCTCAATATCGCTTGAGATGTTTTTTCCGCAAAGGTGACTAAATATTCGGGTTGGTATGGGCAGTTAACAAAATAATTCGTCAGACCTTTGTTCATAGACGGCATATACAGGATAATTTGGTGTCAATAAGGCAACTGCGCTAGTTTATCCAATATCCGCAGAAATATTTTTTTGAGAATTAATCGGTAGAAAATGGACGCAGATAATAGGGCGCCAGCTTGCAGAAAGCTGGTAAAA